GGGGATGGAAGCTCATAACCGAGGCATCGTCCTGGCGGAATCGGACTGTGACCTCCTTGATCGATGGGTCCATGTTCACACCACTGAGCCACGCCGCCAGGCCCAGCCTGAGTTTTTCACATGCCTCAAGTGTTTCTAATGAGCAGCCAAGGTTGAAAACTATTGAAATACAGAGTGGGAAGCTGGTGCTAATACAGTTATAGTTCTGCTGTTAAAAGTGAATACTTGTGCCCTAGCTGGCTTAGCTCAGTGGATAGAGCGTCAGCCTGCAGACTGAAGGGATCCAGGTTCGATTCCGGTCAAGGGCATATGCTTGGATTGTGGGCTCAGCTGACCAATGATTCTCTTATCATTGATGTTTCTATCTCTCCCTCTCCCTATCTCTCTGAAATCAATAAAAAAATATAAAAATAATAAAAGTGAATACTTGTCTGGTGTTGCTCAGTTGGTTGCACATGGGAACCATCCCCAGTAGGGGCGTGTAGGAGGCAGCCAATCAGTCCTGATGTTTCTCTCCCTCTCCCTTTCTCTCTCTAAAATAAATAAATAAATAAGTGATTACTTAACAGACCCTTTAAAGCTTTTTAAGTTAAATGCCATACAACTTCAGGTGTTGAACATAAGTGTAGTATTACAGTGTATTAAATGTTATAGGGATAGTGTGGAGTGGATGCAGGGAAGAGCACTGTCACATAATGGCAGAGCAGGGCCTTTTGTCCCCAGAGGATGCTACAGCTATTAGGTGAAAGGTTGTGGGATATTCATAGGGCATCAACATATAGCCCCACATATCCATTACAGAGGGAAAACGAACTTTCCAGCTAGAGGTCTGTCATTCACTACTTAACCAAGTGATTAAACTTATCACTAAGAGCCCATTTACAAGCTTTTCAGTCTCTAAAATGCAGGATGAGATCATAGTTCTTACCTTCCCAGTTCTTCCCTGAAGACAGATTCAGTGCAAATCATGGTCCCTAACACATAAAAAACATTCAGTGACTTTAAGCTTTTCTGGTGGCTATTTGATTTTTCTGTCATAATAGCTAAGAAGAATAAGATTTCAATCAGTGTCTGCCAATAGATGTTGACTTAAACTGAGACAGGACTGAATTTAAAAGATAGGAAGGAATGATTGATTTGAAGCTTTCAAATCCCTAAATAAAGTAATATACTTTAGAAAAAATATTTTTTATTGCTTTTAGGAAAAAAAAATTAAAAGTTTGAAACGAGTAATTAACTCAATAAAAATAATTTTATAATAAAGCATAGAAAAGCAATCTATTTGATCATGTGATTCCTAATGTAAATCCCAGCACCACTATCAATTGACCATTTTCAATGTAATTTAGACTTGCATATGATATAAACATAGTTTTAAAATGTTTTATTAAATTGTTTCACTACTGCTTGGCTGGCGTGGCTCAGTGGTTGAGCATCGACCTATGTACCAGGAAGTCATAGTTTGATTCCTGATCAGGGTGCATGCCCGGGTTGTGCGCTCGATCCCCAGTAGGGGGCGTGCAGGAGGCAGCCGATCAATGATTCTCATCATTGATGTTTTTGTCTCTTCCTCTCCTTCCCTCTCTGAAATCAATAAATTGTTTCACTACTAACACAAAGGTTCATTTGGATGATTTCATGAACTTGTAGCACTGTTAACCTGGTATGTGGACCAAACATCTCTAAGGCACCATTTCTCCAAGTCTCTCTGGAGAACATTCACCCTGAGAGATGCTGTCCGCAGAGTGGGTTCGCTGGCTATACTTTGAAAAGTACTGCATACAATAGTCCTTGCAAAGAGTCATAATTCACATTATGAAAAGCTCTGAAATCTTACAGGAAAGAAACCTGTTTACTTGTGTGCAACATAAGAGCTCCAATTTCAGGAGCACCAGGCTGCTCTTTAATAGCCTGGAAAAACCATGTGGGGGATCAGAGGAGAAGGACGTAGCCTTTATTTTTTTAAAAATATATTTTTATTGATTTCAGAGAGGAAGGGAGAAGGAGAGATAAAAACATCAATGATGAGAGAGAATCATCAATTGGCTGCCTCCTGCACGCCCCCTACTGGGGATCGAGCCTGCATCCTGGGCATGTGCCCTGACTGGGAATCAAACCTTGATCTCCTGGTTCATAGGTCAACACTCAACCACTGAGCCATGCCGGCAGCCAGGACATAGCCTTTATTACTTGCACATGGGGAAGACCCAATGGCTGCCTGTTGGGTAAGTTTCCCAACCCTGCCAGGGTCAGGCGGGGGCTTATTTAGCAGAGGGGAGGGGGGTGCCATGCTTGGAATAGCTTGAGTGCAGGCCAAGGACAAACAGGGTCTGCCGAGACTTGTTGGCCGTCAAGGACGTGGGAAGACACCTGGGTCTGTGCTGCTCTGTTTCTTGTGGCCACCAGCCAGGCAAACAATGTTGAACTGACTGGGGGCAGGGCGGAGGGAATTGTGCTATAGCCTTGCGTGACCCCACACTGGGTCTAACCTAGCATGCCCCAGACATATCTGAACACAGAATTCTTTTCCCCCTATTATAGCAATTCCTAGAAACACTTTGGGGAATGGTGCTTTAAAGAACAGTTGGTCTCAGGTAATAATGGTATTTGCACATCAGGGATAGACTATCTCAGTCCATCCACAGCAATGCAGGCGTTGTCTAGCATGCTGGAAGAGGCGAGGAAGGATCCTTGTATGGACTGAATGTTTGTGCACCCCAAAGTTCACATTTGAATTTCTAACCCCCAATGTAATGGTATTTGGCTGTGGGGCCTTTGGAAGGTGATTAGTTCATGGGGTGGAGCCTTCGTGAAGGGTTAATACCCTTATGAAAGAGGCCCCACAGAGCCCCCTCTCCCCTCCCACCACATGAAGACAGTGAGAAGGCAGCCATCTACGAATAAGGAAGCAGGCTCTCGCTGGATACTGAATCTGTGGTTCCTTGGCCTTGGCCTTCCAGCTGCCACAACTGTGAAAAAGAAATGTCTTGTCTGTGGTATTTTGTCATAGCAGCTTGGACTAAGATAGGTGCCTATCAGAATTTGTTTCTGCTCTTACTTAGAAAGTAATCTTTTTCTTTTTTGGTTGGAGGGAAGGGAGGAAAGCAAATGGCCTGTTTGATACTGGCCACCCCCCATCCACTGTAAGAAGTCACTAATAGCCCTAGCCAGTTTGGCTCAGTGGATAGAGTGTCAGCTTGTGGACTGAAGGGTCCCAGGTTTGATTCCGATCAAGAGCATGTACCTCGGTTGTAGGCTCGGTCCCCGGCCCCAGTTGGGACGTGAGTGGGAAGCAACCAATTGATGTGTCTCTCTCACATCCATGTTTCTCTCTTTCTCTGTCTCTCCTACTCTAAAAATCAATGGTAAACATATCCTCAGGTGAGGATTAAACACACACAAACACAAAGAAGTCACTGACAACTGTCAACAGGTTTCCTTTGGCAGCCTTGTATTAATACCAGGACCTGCTGTAATCAGTTTTGATTATAAGAATATAGAGTAGATAAACCACCTAAGAATTCTAATTCAGTTACTGCCTGCCCGACTTCCAGTAAAGTTCTCTCATGATAAATTAGGGGTCATTAAAAAGAAGAATCATTTCTATGCCTTTTCTACCACTCACTCACTATGACATGCCTTCTGGCCAGGCACTGTGATGGGGATGCAAAAGCAGAAAGAAATGCTCTTTCTTGCATTTGGGAAGACACTTTGCTTTAAATTATTGGAAATACTAGAGGCCTGGTGCATGGATTCGCACACCAGTGGGGTCCCTTGGCCTGCGCCCTCTCACAATCTGGGACCCCTCAGGGGATGTTGGACTGCCGGTTTCTGCCAGGCTGAGGGACCCCACTGGTGCAAGAATCTGTGCACCAGGCCTGTTTCTGCCTGATCCCCGAAGGCCAGGCTGAGGGACCCCACCGGTGCATGAATCCATGCACTGGGCCTCTAGTATGCACATAAGATCTTTGGTTAATCTCTCCCCCCGACTTCCCTCTGAGATTCACCAGTCTGTTCCATGTTTCCATGCCTGTGTGTTGAGTGTCTGCCCCCTGGTGGTCAGTGCACATCATAGTTATTGGTTGGTCACTTAGGCTTTTATATATATAGAAAACGGGAATGGGGTTGGGTTAGAGAAACCTTTGAATTTAGCATGTAACCTATCAAAGATGTCACAGGAGAGATGTTTTCACCGAACACTTGGCTACTAGTGATTGAACTCAATCTTCTCCAACCCCTCTCCCCTTCCCCAGAAACTGGGTGTGGGCATGGGGGTGGGGACTAAAAGTTCCAACCCTCTAATCATGTGGTTCCCATGGCAATCGGCCCCCAGCCATGGGTTACCTAGGAGCTTTCCTCATTAAAAGTCACCTCATTAATGTAATAAGACATCTTTCGTATCACTTAGGAAATTCCAAAGGTTTTAGGAGATTTGTGTCTGGAATGGAGACAAAAACCAAATATATATTTCCTGTAAGTGATGATATCACAGTACCAAACCAAAATTTTTTCCACATAACAGGTTTATTTTAGCAGCTCAGTTTTATTACATTCTACATATTTGTTTAATATATTTCTATCTGTTCTGCATAGATGGCATATTTATTAACTTTTATAGTTGACTTTTTCATTTGCTATTTGCTGCTACCTGGCCTGAAGAGTCAGGAGGATAAATAGAACTCGCTTGGTGGAAAGGTGGTGCAGCATTGAACTTCTCCGCAGAACTTTACTTTGATGTGGACTTCAGTGTCAGCTTTTCTTCCTCTTCTTTTTCAAATCCTGAACAGACGAGAGATCTTCCCTTGGGATAGCGAGCACAACACTTACGAAGTTCTTGGATGACAGCCTGACACTTAGATTCCATGTAGTTGTTGGCTGAAAAACAGACAGGCAGAATCTAGTCATGATCTCATAGGACTAAGGCACAGGGAGTTGGGGGGTTAGATCAATGCTTCCCACTCCTTTTTACTTTACTGTATGTACAGACCTGGAAGAAAGAGGATATATTAAAGTCCACGGAATTCTTCCTGATTTAGAGACCAGGAAGAAAAGTATGATTTACAGAGTGGTCAAAAGGTATTTTTCTATATAATTTTCTTTTCTTTTAAAAAATATATGTATTTTTATTGATTTCAGAGAGGGAGAAGGAGAGATAGAAACATCAATGATGAAAAGAGTATCATTGGCCGAAACCGGTTTGGCTCAGTGGATAGAGCGTCGGCCTGCGGACTGAAAGGTCCCAGGTTCGATTCCGGTCAAGGGCATGTACCTGGGTTGCGGGCACATCCCCAGTAGGAGATGTGCAGGAGGCAGCTGGTCGATGTTTCTCTCTCATCGATGTTTCTAACTCTCTATCTCTCTCCCTTCCTCTCTGTAAAAAAAATCAATAAAATACATAAAAAAAAAAAAGAGTATCATTGATCGGCTGCCTCCTGCACACTCCCCACTGGGGATCAAGCCTAAAACCCGGACATGGTGCCCTGCCCAGGAATCAAACTGTGAGCTTCTGGTTCATAGGTCGACCTCAAAGCTCAACCAACTGGGCTCATTTTCCTTAAGGTTGAGTTAATAGTTCATGTTTCTTGGTCACTAACTCCTTTACAATTTGGTGAATTAGAAAAATGCGCATATGAAAAATGCATTTTGAATACAGTTTAAGGTGGCTACTAGAAGCTTCCCTACCAAGTCTATGCATCAGAGGTTTGAAACTGCAGCCTCAGAGTCAACCCTTTTTTACAGTTGTGCGCTAATAATGGTTTTTACATTTTTAAAGGGTTGTAATTTGCCTCTCCTCCTTCCCTCTCTCTCTCCAACAAAGACCTCCTGGCCTCCAAAGCCTAAACTATTTCCTGTTTGGACCTTTATAGAAAACATTTGCAGACCCGGCTATACATAGATCCTAAGTCAAGGAGGACTTGACCTAACGGTTCTAAATCAGCTTCAATTGACTTGAGTCCCTCGATACTAAATTGGGGTGCATGGGAGTTAGCCTGTGATAGGAAAGACAATTCTGACCACCCAGAGTATAGTGGAGTTGCTGAGTCCAGGCTTGTAGCCAGATCAGTGGGATTCAAACCCTCACTGTACCCCTTACTAGTTGTGTGACCCTGGGCAAGTTATGTAACTTCTGTGTTGATTTCCACATCTGTAAAATGGAGGTCATGGTAACATCTACCTCATGGATGAAATGATCAAATGACTTAATATGGTTAAAGCCCTTTTGGCTGTAACTGTCATCCAGGGAATGATTAATTCGAACTCTTAGTCCTTCCAGCCCTCAATCCTCCCACACTGTGGCAAGGGGTATAACTAGTTCTAACTTGATTCTTGTTCTCCTTAAGTCAGTAGTTCTCAACCTTCCTAATGCCTCGACCCTTTAATACGGTTCCTCATGTTGTGGTGACCCCCAACCATAAAATTATTTCCGTTGCTACTTCATAACTGTAATTTTGCTACTGTTATGAATCGTAATGTAAATATCTGATATGCAGGATGTATTTTCATTGTTACCAATTGAACATAATTAAAGCAGAGTGATTAATCACAAAAACAATATGTAATTATATATTCAATATGTGTTTTCCGATGGTCTTAGGCGACCCCTGTGAAAGGGTCGTTCGACTCTCAAAGGGGTTGCGACCCACAGGTTGAGAACCGCTGCCCTAAGTCATGGGTTGCTAGTTCAAATCAGTTAATTTATTTGGAAGAAATTAATTGTGAAAAAGATTTTTCATTTTTCTTAAATTTGGAGAAAGGGATGAATAAAATGGCATTGTTATACATAAACACTTTAGATTAAAAGATTTTACAGATAATATTGCTTACATCATAAAATGGAAAGTTCAAGAATAAAAGAAAATATACAAACAAGGATTTTCTTTGATGTTGAGTCTTTGGGGGAACTCAACATTTTCCCTTCCTACCTTTCTCTATTTTCATGGGTATCCATCTCTATTATTGTACTTTAACAATGGGAAAATGATCAAACAGTCAGTTTTCAAATTCACATCGTCTTGCTGCTTTTTTTCATTTGTTCTGCCAATAATCATTTACTGATTTAAAAAAAAGAAATCCTCTGGCATTTGTTCAAACATATTGGCTGATTTAAAACCAAATGGACAAATCACATCACATAGACTTTAGTTGAAATTCACTTTTGCCTTTAAAAGTTAGTTGCTAAGTTTGGCAGCCTGAATTCCAATTGTATTTTCAACACCCACCCCCCCATTCTAACCTGACTGCTTTTAAAAAGTGAGTTATTAGGCAGTTAAGTATAATCAACCTATTTTAAAACTAGTCTTTTTTTTAAGGATTTTGCTCAGCTTCGTAATTCTCAACTCTGCCTGCACATTAAAATCACCTGGTCAGCTTCTTAGGTCCCTCTGCCCAGACTCCACTCACTGGAAGTCTGATTTCATTGTTCTAGGCAAGTTTTTAAAGCTTCCCATGTGATTTTACTATACACCCAAGATTGTAAACCACAAGCTTAGATCACATCACTTTTTATTTTCTATATCTTCAATTGTACAGTGAGAAAGATCTTCAGGCTAAAATAATTACAGAAATATTCTATTCTGAGAGGAGTTAATACAGTTTGCTGATAAAAAGAACAATTGGTCTCTTGTAGTTGGTTCATAGATAAAGTGGAAACTATGTAAAAAGCATTGAACATAGTACCTTGTAAACATTTCTGTATTTCACAGGCTTGTTTCTGGCACGGATCCTTCTGCAGCATATCCAGTAAACTAAAATAAGAAAAATGATTTTTATTTTGTCTTTTATTTATAAGGACTTTAAAGCCCCTCTAGAAGAAATTTTCTTCAGAGACAAGCAGTATGCCCTTCCAATTGTTGGAAGACTATTACACTGAAAAATACTCTTCCCATTCATAGGATGAATCAACTGTATTTTTTATAATATCCATTTCATTTGATTCGAAAGATATAAGTAGCTTTACATGGGGAAAAGACCCTTGAATTCAATAAATTCATCCTGAATATTGTAAACCAATGTTGGGCTAGAGGAGCCGACGCCGCAGCCTGAGGGACCTGCCCACTGCCCACTCTGTCATTGACAAAACTACCCTTGGCAATGATCAAGCTCCTTGAGCCTTTCCCCTTATTATTAATGTGTAAACTGGGGATCATACCTACCTCAAAGCATTGGTGGAAGAATTAAAAGTATACGAAGTGCATAGAATAGTGCCTGGAAGGCAGTAAGGACTCGCTACGTGGTAGCTATTGTTCCTGAGGTTTTTAAAAAGCAAAACTAAGGGGTTTTTTTGCATATAAACTATTATAACTATTTTAACTCAGGAAATTATCAGGCAGTAAATGGTTTCTTAGGGATCAGCAATATTTGGCCCTGAGATAAATGCTAGTTTAGCAGCTAAAAATTTTTTTTGAACTCTTACAGAAAAGACTTATTTAAAATATCTGTAACCAGAGAATAATCTTAAGTGCCCACTATTTTGATTATTAGCAACATCTAAGAATTTGAAGACACAATTTCAGAAAGAAAAAGGGCCAGGAGCCTTTGTAGCTAATTTCATTAATGCAAATAACCTCTTTTTTCCCTTAGAGCTCCCTAAATTCTTAGTAGATCCAAGTTAGGTCAGTACTGGGATGGGAAACACTGGAGCAAAACCCAAGATATTTACAGGATGGGAGAAGGAAAGGCAGGTGAATTGCTGCAGGGCAAAGAAACGACCAATAGATGTTGATGCTGCTAGGAGCTGCTCTCTTCTCTCTAAATCAGTACCAAGTCCTTGGTGATCAGAGCATCTGTTGTGTAGCAGGTGCTGACTTTTGTGGGATTCATCAGATCCCAGTTCCGGCTGATGATGTCCATTAAAGGTTCTATGGCAATTTCCAAAGGAGTCAATTTCAAGTTACGAATCCTGACTAAGTGCTTTTGTTGACTCGCTTTCTGCCTGTGTAACCCCCTCTCTGCAGTTCCACGTGCGGTGTTCTTCATGACCCTTCCTAAACTTCTGTGTTCTTGAGCAGTTTTTCAACCCACTCCCTCCCCCAGGCCCACAGGTGGGTGCACTGCAGTGGTGGATGAAGTGATTGCCATATACTGAACAGAACAGAGGAGCATGTCTTCCTAGAATCCCAGCACCTGGAAAAAAATAGATCATTAAAATCACCACAACCGAACAGAGTGAAAAAGAAGAGAGAGAGACAGTGGAGAAACAAAAATACATACCAGGTTAATCATCAGGCAAAAGCTTAAGCAACAGCTCCTGTACTCCCCTGACCTGTCAGAAAAAGAAAAGTTTATAGAGTACTCTGTTATAAGAGTCCCAATAGGATGGAAAATGATTAAGCAACATGTGTACCATTAAATGATGCTGGATCTGCCACAAGCGAGAGTTGTTATCCATGTAGCGCTGCTCAGGGTAGAGTTGCCACATGAGAGGTAGCTGGGAGGTAAGAAGGTGACTTGGCCTAACTGCGTCACCTAAGGGAACCTGAACTTGCTGGATTCGTGCCCTTAGGAAACTCGTCCCCTGAGGGAAAGAAATGATCAAAAATAAAACCAAAGACTTTCAGGATACTGTGACTAGTTAGAAACCAAGTTGATTGAAAGCAAAATCAAAAAAGAAATAAGCAAAACGTAAAGTTACCTGTTCCACGACGGCCACCCACGTGCGCTGGTATTCGTCTCGGTAGATACCCTCTTGGTGAACCCAGAGGCGATCGGGTGGAGCCCCCACATCCTCTCCTGCCATTCTGGGCTTTGAGTTCCAATTCTAGCCCTGCTTTTCTCCACCTAAGCCTGCAGCACCCGTGCACAGGACACAGGTGTGACTTTTTGGGTTTGAATGAACTCACCAGTGAGCCAGGTGACCTGGTACTAGCAACCACCAACCAGAACCAAACTTCATATATGTCTACGTGCACAGTCTAAATAGAACCAAGGCCATCTGAAGCTCCCTGCAAGACACTGAAGTGACACTCAGGCAGAGCCCTGGGTTGACTACAAAGCACTCAAGAATTTAGTTGGGTAAGGAGTTCTGTGGAAATGTAGGACTAGCATTACAGGAAGCTGGGCAGTGGTCTCAAGTTTGCATTCACAAAGCAGTATCTGACGAAGTGTAGTTAGCAACAGAATATGCGTAGGAGTGTGCCTAAGGACACACTTATTTGGGCAGGAATGCGTTATGAAAGGCAGATGAACGCCCCATTCCCCATGTAAAAGCAGTTTTCCTTTTAAAAGGTAAGACTGAGAAGGTGAATCATGTGCATGGCTTTCTAAATTGAAATGAAAAGTTTGTTTTCAGAGCAAACGACCTATTTATCAGTTTACTTAGAAAGGTATCGCAGCCGGGCATTTCCGGAAGGGGGTATGCGTATTAGGGAGAATATTTAAGGTAGCTTCCTGGAATTTCTGAGCTGCAAGAGGCTTTGGGACCATGGCGATTTGGAGCTGAGAGAAAATGATTATTATCCACCTAGGTCCTTGTTTCATCTTAGTAATGCTTTTCAGGATGTCACAGGAGTGCATTTTTCCATACAAGTGTGGGTTTAAATTATGATTTCCTGAGTCGGAAACCCAGAAAAGTCCCTCTGCCCTTCGAGAGGTATAAAGGAATCCCACCTCCTAGACCAACTCTTCACACGGGGCAAACTGGGCTCGAAACCCATACATCCTCTGCCCAGCCCTGGATCTCACTTCAGGGCCTCACAATAACTTCGCCTGCACTTTGCATTTTGTACCGCACAGTTTTCACTGTGTTTCTACTTTTGGCAGAGCACAGGCACAACATTGGGGGATCTCCCCACAAAACACAGGCCTCCTATTCCAATTGGGTTGCCATTAGGTGGGAAAGGAACTCCAGCACAGCTTGGGAAGTTGTTAAACCCTCCAGTGAGACTGTCCAGAGCAAATGAGATGCCAGAACACAGAATGAAGCAGCCCAGGACAAAGTGAGCCAGAAAGGATTAATTGAGCTAAACCAAGCCCTTTGTTCAGAACAATAATCTGAGTCTGATTTTTTTCTAAACACTGTTAGTTTACCTTCCCTTAAAAGGAAAGTAGAAAATATCTTTTATAGATTTAAGGAAGGGTCTGATTTTAGTGAATAATTTAAGAACATCATAGTTGCTTTGCCCAGTGTACTCTGACTGAGTCCATTGTCAGCTCCTGTCTTATAGGGCTCTTTCATTTCAAATTTCCTGTCTTACATGGTTCCCTCATTTCAAATTCACCTAAAGTGAAACCCCTTCTCCTTAACCAAATTCTGATTTCTCTCAATGGCAACACCACCCCTCCTGTTCCTGCAGAAATTTACTAGTTGTCTTGAACCCCTTCATCTGCTTCAGTTGCTACATGCTATCTGTCACCAATTCTAGGAAGAACCACTACCACTGTATTTGAGATAAACTTTCTCCCAAACACCGGCTAATTTTAGCTCTATATCCTTGATTTTGCTCTCCACTTGCCTAAAATGCCTCCTCGGGCCTCTCTACCTCAGTACTACTATGGCCGAGTGCAAGTGTCTGCCTTTTCCATGAAAACTTCTTGCCTCCCTATGACTACTATAGGTTTTATGTCTAAACTCATATTTTAGCCTCTAATTATATATTTCTTTGCATTATTGCTCTGCTTATTTCACAAGTCCTGGCTCTCCCCAAATGCAGTACTTTAAGCTCTTCAGTAGCACGAATGATACAGTACTGGGCACCCCAAGTCTCAAATACTAGTCAAATAGATAATCATTGTTCTGCCTCTCCTCTTCCCCGGGGCTTTGGAAAGGAGTGATATAAACAAAAACCCAGTAAATGCTAATGTCAAAAGAAAATATATTAAAGTCTGGATTTCAAGTACACAAGAAGTAAGTGTGGCTACTTTTTTTTTTTTTAAAGTAGAAACCGAGTGTTAATGGGTTTCAGTACCATCTCAACTTCACAGATAGGTCGTAGCAACAACCAACATTATTGACATTTAAATTTGTTTTGGAAAGCGAAATTTTACTGGTTACACTGACGTGAAAAGGAAATAATTCCAGTGGGCAAACAAATTGGAGATGATGATCTGAGTTACTATGAATCACTACAAAGAGGCCTATGAGTCATTACAAAATATGCTCGAAACGCAGCATGATGTGCTGTTGAGACCCAAAGGCCAATGTGCTGGGCTTTAGCATACGACTCTGGACTTGCTTATGCTACTTACTACTCAAAGAGCATGAAGGCCCAGTAAAAGGCGACTGTAGTGATCAAGGGACTGAGAAGCCATCATGTGAACATTAACCAACATCCTCAGCAGAGAACCGCAAAAGCAAAGGCTGAGTGAGAGGGATTAAGATCAAAGCCCACAAAATCACAGGTTGTATGAATGGGACACCATTTCTCTAAATGTGATTCTTGGAACACGTGCCCCTAACTTTTTCCTTGGTCAAATAAATTTGGGAATCTGATAGCGTCATAAAGCATGTTAACACATGTAAAAGCTCTGGCGAGTTATGTAGTAAAGAAACTTTATTTCGTTTAACATTTCCCAAATTTATTTGACTAGAGAGCATTTCTCTGCACATAAGACTTGCTCACAAAATTCAGGACCCCTTGAACTAGGATAAATCTCTTAAAACCTCAAGATAAGCTTAGGTAAAAGGTGCACTACAATACACAGAAAACTTGTTCCACTCAACTCAAGGAATACTGCCAGCTGCAAATTCAAATACATTTAAAAAGTGTTTATATAGCTTTATCATCCATGAAGGCACTAAAAGAGATTGTCCCCATGGGGGTCACCTTAATGCCACAATCAGAGACCACACTGGCCTAGAGAGACTATTTATTAATAAGGGGTTCTGTAAATTAATTGTTTTAAATGGATGATATAAAATATAGAAGGCTTCCTTAGGTAGTAATCTAAGTAAAACCATTATTTTTCCTTTGCAGAATAAATTATTTTGTGTCTTTAAAAAAAAGGATAGTTTGCTTTATTTTCCAGGTGTTTTAACAGTTTTTAAACATTAATCAGTTAAATACACTTATTTCATTTGAAATCAATTAATGAACTCATCCAATTATAATGGATGAGGATACCAAGAACATATATACCTGGAATCAGACTGGCCTGTGTATAAATCCTGGTTTTGCCACTTACTAGCTGTGTGACCTCAGTTAAATTTTCTACACTTGTTTTCTGATTTGTAAAATGAGAATTAAAGAACGTATTGATTAGAATAGTCAGCAATTATTTAGCACTTCCTATGTGTTTCATATACATTGACACTTTTAATTTTCATAATCACCTGATTAGATTAATACTATCCCCCCCCCCCACACACTTAAAGATGAGGGAAGTAGCCCTGGTCCGGTGGGCAGCAGGTTCGATTCCTGGTCAGGGCACATACCCAGGTTGTGGGTTCGGTCCCAGGTTGGGGCGCACACAGGAGGCAACCAAATGATGTTTCTCTCTCTCTCAAATCAATAAAAACATATCCTCAGGTGAGGGTTATTAAAAAAAAAAAGATAAGAGAAGGCACAGAGAAGTTAGGTAACTTGCTTGAGGCCACACTGCTAGGAAGTTGCAGAGCCGGATTCCAATTGGGGCGGGCAGCTTACACAAAGTCTGTAAGTGCTTAGTAGATCATCTAGCACAGCGGTTCTCAACCTGTGGGTCGCGACCCCTTTGGCGGTCGAACGACCCTTTCCCAGGGGTCGCCTAAGACCATCCTGCATATCAGATATTTACATGACTATTCATAACAGTAGCAACATTACAGTTATGAAGTAGCAACGAAAATAATTTTATGGTTGGGTCACAACATGAGGAAATGTATTTAAAGGGCCAGAAGGTTGAGAACCACTGGGCTAGCACCTATTACGCTTGCCATACATGTTATTAAACGTTTAGGGCTATAAAATGAAGCCATGAGCATTATAAAAGTTAGAGAATGCCATTCTAGATTATGAGATTAACATCAACAAACAAAGGGTTTTTTTTTCTTTTTGAAGGTGCCTAAAGACAATTTATAAACTCAAAATATCCCATCACTGCACATAATCACAGCCACTCTTGCCCCATCAGGGCAGAGCATACTTACAAAGGAAAAGTAATTGAAAATATGTGGTGCAAAATCGAAACTTAAGCGAAAATTCACGTGGGTCCAATGTAATTGCACACTTGAAATTTCTCCCGAGCTTCATCATTATCAAAATGAATCACGGAAAGTTGTGCCATGTGATCCTGAAGCATTAGGTAAAAATGGAGGTTGCTGGCATACATACCACAGATAGTTCTACTGGATGAGGGCCCTATCTGTGGAAAGACGTGGGTTGGAACTGACTAGGGAGAAAAGAGCAAAGCATCAACACCTCTTCAGGTAGCACCTTGGGAATGTTCCCTTTCCAGTACTGCCATGTCTACCTGGCTTCCCAACTCCACAGCGAATAGATAGAAAGCGAGATCAAACAAACAGAAACACCGATGGGCTGTGGAGCTGGCTCGGCATAGATTTTTCTTTGATTTTTGAAGCGTTCCCCAAATCCCCTGTAATTCCTAACCTTGGGAGTTGAAAGATCGCTACTTTCAACCCATGGCACATTTGGCATACGGCGAAAGAAAATTACTTTTACCTATAATTTCACCATGTCTGAGAGCGGCCAGACAAGGGAACCGAGGAAATTCGTAGAGGGGATAACTACTGTGATACACCCGACCTTGAATAAAACCTGAAGTCCCCCATTCCCCTTCCCTAGAACAAATAGTTAACATTCTTTGCAGAGAGTAGCAGCAGCCAAGTTTGAGAGTGATACTTTTTCAGATACAGTATAGCACTGTTTCTGCAAGAGGTTACTCACATGAATATAATGTTTCTTGGGCTAATTAATCCGCCTCGAGATCAGCGAGGCTAAAACTTCCAGGTCCCCCACCTCGGGTCAGTCAAGCGGGGATCAGGACGTCAGCCAGGGGCGAGCAGAGGGGCATCTGGGGCCGAGGTCACCCGAACCGAAGTTTCCAGGCAAGGGCCGGCAAGCGGAAGTGGTCCAGGGAAGAGTGGGACAAAATTCAGGGGCCGCAACTTGGAAACAAAACGAAATAAAACCTTAACTATCTTAGGACGGAATTTCCCAAAGAGCGTCCCACTGGCTCGAGAGGCTGGCCCGCGCGGCGGAGCTGCCTCAGGGTTGTCCCTGGAGCGTGTAGGCCGCGTCAGCGGGCGGGCAAAATGGGCGCCGGCGCTCCCGAGGCGCCTGCCCCGCAGCCCGGCCCCGTTCAAAAAACGGGCCCCCCCTGGGGCCCTTGGGGAACCCGTCTCCCAGCCGGCCCTTGGTCCCGGGCCTCCCGGGTTAAAACCTTTTCCCGGGGGGGGGACAAAGGCCTTTTTCGCCCGGGGGGCCCCCGCCTTCCCAATAAGCGGGGGGGGGGTTTTCC